TGAGAAAACGCACAATAAAATGTGAACTTCTGCAAGTAAAAGCCAATGACTCTGAAGTAGTCCAAATAAAGTTTGGCTGTGTTTTTCTCTGTCTGATGGTTTCAGTGTGTCAGTGATATTCAGGTACGCTCACAACAATAGCCAGTAAAAAGACAATATGTAATTGCTCTTCAGTTCATTGCAACTCCAGATTCAGGAGATTGAATGTGTCGTCGATAAATTGGATCGTGTTATTTCTTTAGATTCATCTCTCTGATCAAATAAAAACAATTGAAGTTTCTCAGGATCTGAGTTGGCTATGATTCAGACTGCATGTGATGAACCACGAATATGACTGCAGATTGTGAGAAGTGTTTTTGTGCACAAACAATTAGAATTTATCAGCAACAGATCAAATTGTGAAACTGTCAATACAGATACAGTTGCAGGATTCACACCAAGATTTCTATTTCACTCAAGCAGAGATGGTCCTGGCTTTTAAAAAGTTGTCTCCAAAAAAATCGCCAACCACAATATTTTGTTGCCAATTTTCAAAAAGTGTCGCCAGAATAAATAGTGAATATTTTTCCAAGTATGTTAATGTAATAGTCTATGAAAATTTAAAATTGAAAAACACTGGATAGTTATTACTTTATTGACAAAAATCAATACAGCTATAATATTATATAATAAATCATTACATGTTGATGACTGTTTTACATCTGGAAAAAAACATTATCAAATGTAAAAAAATCAACTTTGCTGACATCTACAGCACCTAGTTCATTTTTTTAATTTTAATCCCCCCTCCCCAATTGTATGGCTAGCTTCACAATGTACATCTCACTGAATGCTGTAGTTTTTCTTAACACCAAACTTGGATATCCATTCCCACCAATGAAACTTACAAGAGTCAACACCTGGCATAACTGTACCGTATATATAGGCATTAGTGACCATCAAGTCAGAAAAAAAATTGTTATTGACCGAGTCAACATTGTTATATGCATATACTAGTTAAGGTGACCTGACAAAAGCATGCCAGGACAAAAGCGTGTTGACATGCACTCTGCGAAAGATGTAAATAATAATTGTAATTTTAACATGTTCAAATGATCAACTAACAATTACCAAGTTAATTACTCTAAATGCTAATGTTGTATGCGATCCCTTCGTCTTTGGAAAATAATAAACAGTCAGTTAAATTTAATTTTAATTATTTCATCTGGAAACATAAAAGTAAATTATTTTGATCGTGGATTACAGTTAATTAGAATTGGAATGTGAATAATGGTCTTGGCTTTGTTTTTTTTTGAATACCACACACACTGTTTACTTTAACTTAATTTACACCTGCACGGTTTTATCGTGCACGCTTTTGTCGAGGTTGTTTAGCATTGCGCTCATATGTCAGCACGCTTTTGTCTGCTTTTGTTACGGAACCTCTAGTTTACAATATGTTGCTGTTATACGGTTTAACACCATTTTCATCACAAGACAGGCTATACATGACAGCCAGTATTAATGGTGGAGGAAGAACCATGGGAAATCTGGGGAAGAACCACTGACCCACGAGAAGCTACTGGCAGGCTTTCTCACTTTAACAATAAGGAATTACAGTGGGATATAAAATGTGGAGAATATTTATCATATGGATGGTAGCCTGAGACAAAATTTTAAAAAAGCAAATGCATATCCTATTAGTGATCACAGAAAAGTTTTATTTGTCAATCAATTACTAGTGCTTCAATCACTGTAACAGGCGGTGTCTTTGCAGTATGTTGCAGAGGCTCAAGTCTAACCTTTAGCTGTTGTATAAAATATGAAATGGGGGCACGTTGGGAGGGGGAGACAAATAACGCACTCCACAGGGGAAAATGGCATGTCCTTTTAAAAATTTCATGTGTATTGGACCTTTAAAATCAGAGAATATTAGTGAAAACGATGCTTAAATAGAAAAACTTCATGATGGCAGATTCCAATCTGTGTATTTTCGGATTCAATCGTTTTGAGAAATAAATTATTCAATTATGCAAAACTTGCTTGTGTTGATATTTCTTGTTGCATAGTTTAAATCTCTGCAGATGTAACATGATTGATGGTAAAAGTAAAATATTAATGAGCAGGACTGCCAGGAATAACACCAGGATCAGCAACTTGATGAATTTGCATTAAATCCAAATGCTGTTAAATTTGTTAATTTACTCTTAGGCTGAGATAATGAACATGCAGAGTCTAACTTGCGTTTACCCATGATAATGTTGTACTGCTGACAGTATATAATTGTGATAGAGATTTTTCTATTTGCTTGGTATTTATACACAGCAATCGGTACTTCAAATGTAATCAATTTTCTCTAGAGTATCCACAAAACTATTTATTGGTATATTTTTTTAAAAAAATGGGGAAGGATCATTCAATTACTTGTAGCTGTTTCTGTTCCCGTTTTCTTAAGTTGGTTGATTGTAGGTATCATAGCATACAGTACATAGGCCAGATATCAGCATTAGCAGATTAACATTGCACTGTACTGACGGGTTTGTCCATAAGAACAGGAATACGGGATTTGTTTATGTGGCTATATAGATCTTTGTACAAGTCTGAAATAAATCTGTGACTTCCTTTCATGGTCCCATTGAATTTTTCCACTCCAAATCCATGACTGTACATGCAAGTTAAACTGCCAAAAAGGCTGTTGCCAAAAAAATCGCCAATTGGTAGTTTTTGTCGCCAATAAGGAACAAAAATCACAATTTGCGACATTGGCGAAGCCCAGGACAATCCCTGCTCAAGCAATAGATGTATGAAAAAGAAGTATGTTTAGGTGCTAAGGGATAAAAAGATTTATACTGTTTTGTACCCCTCACATTTTTAAAAGACAATCAAAGCTCTTCCCTCTCCATTTTATTCCTTGCATCACTGAATATGTTTGCAACTGTATTATTAGCATCACCTTTAAATTGAACATGTAAAAAATTACATGCTACAAATATGACAATATCTCCCAACCCAGATTTTCCCACTTGAAGTGTTTGTTTAATACTACACAAAATGTATGTTATACAATATTTTGCTTGTTAACGTTTGTTCCATATTTAAATTTTAATCATTTCACACAATTGTCAACACTTATCTGACACCAGTATTACTAACCAGTTCTTGGTGTTTGCTTTTTTATTTTAATGTTTTTTTTTGCAGTGGTAATCCAGTTTTGAAACTTGAAGAATCCTGATTTCTCAGATCTTATATTTTGTTATTTATGTGTTGGCAGATAATAGGCTGCTCTCATAAATCACCCTTTAAAATTTTGTTTTCATCTATATTATTGGTTATTTCAGATAAATCATTTGTTTGTTTGAAAATAAAAATGTATTTATGTGAGCAGTTATCTTTTCTTCCAGTTTTACTATGGCACTTTTAAAATCTTTAACAAAGATTTTACTTTTTTTATCATTTTATTGTAGTTTTTTAGTTGGATCTTTCTTTTATTGTTCTTTATGAAGTGGTATGATCCTGTAACCATATAAAATTTTGCCACTGGTGACAAATTATTTTGAGTGCAATAGCATTGCATGGTAACATACTAGTCTAATCAACTGCCATTTACATTAGCTGTTTTTAATTGGTTCATTTTGCTAATTCATGGATTGATTATATTGTTCATTGCAACTTGTCTCAAATGGTTATATTTGGTAACCAAATGAATAAAAAGAGAAAGTTCTTCAAGAAAATAATAATAAAAATAATTAACAGAGTTAATCTATTACCTAATACAGAAACTGTTGGTGTTGTAGTTTTGGGGAAAAAATACACTTAGAAAATATAATTTTGCTAGACATTAAAGAAGTCTTATAACAGACTAAAAAAGGTTTGGTTCATTATCAGTTACATCAAGTTTTATTGTGTATGTGCGTGTGTGTGTGTGAGATTTAAAAATATGCTGTTATATCTAGATGGGAAATTTAGTAAAGAGATATATATGAAGTTGATAGAATACATAATATCCATAATAAAAACAAGTTATATTGATTTTAAAAAAAGTGTATAACAATACATAACAATATGCTAACAGGTTATCTAATAATTTAATAAATAACATCTAACTATTTTTTTGTTTTTCTATTATGGGACAGGGAACCTACACATGGAAAAAGTGGACAGGCCTGTGAGAGAGCCTCAGAAAAATCCATATGTATCACATAGACAAACAGTACACACATACGAGAAAAAGAATAATGTAACTAACAATGGGTGACCCACACTAACAACTAACCAAAAACTAATATAACTTTACCTTTTAAATTTAGGCTATATGGCCTTTTTCAGTCATTCGCGTTATAAAGGAATTGGAATGTATCTGAATGTAGTGGGCGACATAAATAAATAAAGGAAATGTTGCTCCCAACATGACACAAATCAATTGTCCTTGTGATGATAATAGCTATTCTATATATCCACTTATGTCATGATTTGACATAACAAAACACTTATAGCAAACAAATATAGCATACACAGAACTTTGGGGACCATTGGCAAAGGTCACAAAATTTCGAAATAGGCGAGGGACTCGGTAATTGAAACTTGATCTGATGACCAAATCTTCAGATACATCAGAGAAAATACCCCATCAAAAATTATCTGGTATATAATTTGATGATGTTTTACAGACTAATTAGAAGTTGCTGTATTGTTATCTCTTGGCATTCACAGAAGTGCATCTAATGTTTCCTTTACGTTGCTATTGTAACCATCAATGTTATAAATTATCCATCTATACATTTTCAACAGAGTAACATTGAGCAATAAAAATATACTAACATCATAAACTGCACAGTTTAGTCCAGCTTCTCAATTTGAAAATATAATAGTATTGAAATTGTATCACTGTCATCAGTTTTTTTTTTTCACCCAAAGTTCATTACTAACAACTTTTGGGTGGTGTTTTAAACAATTTTAAGTGAATCAGGATGTGGAATACTTTGTTGGCATTTATCAGATAAAAGTCTACCATTGTTAGTACCGCTCCGGTGGCCTAGTGGTTAGAGCGTCCACCTCGGATGCAGGAAGTCATGGGTTGGAACCCTGGCCGAGTCATACCAAAGACTTTAAACAATGGTAATTACAGTTGCCTTGCTTGGTGCTCAGCATTAAGAGGTTAGTGTTAGGACTGGTTGGCCTGGTGTCAGGATAATGTGATTGGGGTGGGACATCATGCCATATGTGTGCAGCATGATGTCCCAGTGTGCTATTAAAGCTACATTAAAAATTCAAATCACACACACACCCCATTATTAGTAAAATCATTATATAGGTTTCATGTTTACTTTCAAGTACAAAACCTATTACCAAAATGCTCAGTGAAATTACCTGATGACAGATTTTAATTCAAACACAATCACCATAGATCTAAAAGTTATAACTTGTTAAGATACATCAATAGAAAAAATAAAATAATATTGGCCGAGAAGAAAATACAACAATGTAAGATTTTAAAGAACTCACATCAGCTGTTGTGGTAAGTGATTATACACATCATTATAATTATAGTACTGGAGCAGTGGAATATTGGAGACAAAGAAGGAATTAATAGTTTTAACAAGTGTGATTATGAATTTTAACATAGCTTTAACAATTTTTCAGACGTATCGCTATGATGTCTGCAGTGTGACAGTTTATAGTGATATCTAGCACTGGGGCATCATGCCGAAAACATGTAGCTAGTCACATTATCCTGACACCAGGCCAACCAGTCCTAACACTAACCTCTTAATGCTGAGCATCAATCAAGGCAGCTGTTAGTAACATTTTTGTAAGTCTATGGTATGACTCGACCGAAGATCAAACCCACAACCTCCCGCATCCTAGGCGGATGCTCTAACCACTAGGCCACTGGAGTGGTGAGGGAAAATGGGATGGGATGACTGTTGTCTACAAGATTGCAACAGAATAATATAAGAAATATCTACTCGAAAATAAATATCTCTGTATGCCTTCATTTGTGGGGCAAGAATATGGTGCACACAGCAATCAATTTTTATCAGGTATTATGCACTAATTAAATAGTTATAGGTTTGAACCATGATGCTGTTTACTTATTTACATTATTGCATATGAAAAGATTGCTTTACAAATACTACTAGTGACTAGCAGCTAGTTCCAGTACTTCACTGCTAAGCTTACAGCATCTGTAAACATTTTTTCTTCAATAGCTTTTTAATGTTACTGGTTATATCAAACTCTTTATCCTCATGAAATTACAAAGAAAAAATGTCTGAGCAAATAGAAACAAGAGGCAACAACTAAATTTATATGCTTTATTGACAGTAAATACAACCTAAGAGCTGTCTGCAGAATCCTTCTGGCATCTTATTATATATCACAGCAATCACTGACAATGATACATTTAAATGCAAATGTGGAAAGACATTCAAATTTACTACATTTGTTAACATTTCAAAACAATGATACACCAACATTTTTGGAAATAAAGAAAACAATAGAAATTGAGAATCACTGCAATGAACATATTAAACAAAGAGGTCTGTAAACCATGAGAAACTACCCAAACATACAGACAAGGAATATAAACAAGACAGCATTTGTGCATTTCTTTACATTTTGAAAGAACTATGAAATTCATTAACCTCTTTTACAGCCATGTTTATACATGCATCTCATCACCGGTATGATATCCTTATTAGGTAATGGGTCCTAATTATTTTTTTCTTAAAATTTCTATACACATTATAGCAAGAGTAATAAAATTGCATGTTTTCATGCAATTAAATTATGTATATTGGCTATTTTATGTCTTGTATAGCATTTACACTGATAAGGAATACTCTATGCATATATATGTGCTGAAGAATAATGTAAACATATTTATTGTTGCTTGAAATCCATACATGGTGCAGAGTAGTTGCATTCTGATCATTTATGTCTGGCAAGTGCTATTCTAAAACAAATTAATGATCCTCATGGTGAGTAGTATACAAGTTGAATACATTAAAACAAATATATGTCACATTATTGTTTAGGAACAAGTTCTTGACCAATATGTTTCATTTTAAAAACTGAAATAAATTACGGAATGTTATGACACTAATACATTATCAGACATGAAATGTTCATTAAATAACTCTGTACATAAGCTTCAAATGGTAATCTTGAATACATTATGACAGACTTTGAACTGCTTCTGAAAGTACAATGGAAAACATGCTTGGCTTTAGATACCCACTATTGAATTATATCATAGGTGTATATTTAGTTATCTATTGTCAGTTAGTTTTCAGTATGACATCAAAAGTGTACAAATTACTAGATAGAAAAATTATTCAAACTACAAAAGATACAAATTCAGTAGTGATACAAATTCACATTTCTATGAGCTCCAATGCAAGTTAATATCAAGCTCACAACTTAATAAAATAAAGGGACATTATGAAAAAATTGACCAACCCACAAATCCTGTCCAAGTACAGCTTGAGGCACCTATCAGAGTTAGTTGTTTGGCTGACTATCAACTGCATCAGCAGTACACTGGTTATAGCTACCCACAACATACAGGTATATGTTCTAGAAATGGCCTGCCACACCAAAATCCTCCGAGTTGGTCATCCCAGAAGGGTGATAGAGAAGACAGAACAGATAGGATTTTGCACAATTTTACATACATGTTAAAGGTCATAAAACAGCAGATAAAATGAATGTTCTATATATAAAATGTTGAGGTGATAAAACTGACCAACAGAATAATGGAATGTTGAGGTGGCAAGACCAACAGAAAAATGGAACGTTTAACATTTACATTGTTGTGTTTCTTTCTTCATAGTCTGATAAAAGTGTGTAAAATGAGAAAATATACTGAATGGAAGAGCAGTTAATTGAACACTACCTTACATGTTAAAAAAGAAAGCAAAGACTTCCATATAAAAAAGTTTACTTCACTCAAGCAGGTGCTCCACTTGAAGCAGATATTGTTAACATTCAATTGTATGAGAAGAATAATGATATAAATATATTCTAACACAAATAGGCTATGAAAACAAAGTAAAAAAATGGGATCATGTAAAGAGAATATTTTAAAGAATGACAACCGGATAAGTAGATTTATTGCCCAAGGTAGTCAACTGATTAATTAATTAATAACACTTATTATCAGTAAAATGATAGGACTCAAAAGTATGAATCAAATTATTTGTTCATATGACAGCAGATTCCTTTAGAGCACATAAGCATTTTATAAAAAGGGCCAACTTTGGATTTTAAAATATAAATACATATTACATCATTTAGTGGAACATATTTTTAAATTTGGCTAGTATTCTCAAGTAACCCTGCTGTGCACAAAACAGAAGACCTAAACAAAGAAAATATTGAGGAACTTGTTACCTCTATACAACAAGATGTTTTTACACAGCCAAGTTCTTCCATTCAATTCTTACATCACATACTCCCTTTACAAGATCTTTAGAAGGTTACTGCTAATAAATGCAACACATTGGCTACTCATTGCCATTTCATACTTATGCCATGGTAAGAAATTTGACACTGTACCCCATTTTAAATCAAGCATAATTAGCATTCTTTTCCAACTTTTTGCCTAATCATAAGAAATAAAATATTGTTATCTTTCAGATAATATACATGGGATTCTTTTATACTGTAATTATCAGCTTCAGCTTTCTTTGAATGATGTAGTCTTGTGACCAATCTATTCTACATGACCTGCATTCAGCCAAATATGGATAAGTAGTTAAATCCATAGGCATTCATTAATGTTTTAAAGTGTACTTTTAGAATTTTAAAAAAAATCCCAACAAAAAGCATTTATCTTCTTTGAAAGTTTCATTAACTCTCACAACAATAATAGGTCTCCCTTTTACATACACAAATACCAGCAGAATACTCCTGTCTCAGTTGAATGAGAAAACAATGAAGCAGAACACATTCTTGTAATTGTTTTTGTCATCCAAATCCTTATTCTGTTCATCATATCTGATTTGAATTTCATAAATTTTAGTAATAAATGAAAGCTCCTAATACCAATTTTCATGTTAAATTTAGTTTTCAATCTGATATATCATTTATTTCTCATTTAACTGTATCAATCCATTTACCTAATGGTGGTCTCTTTGCTCACTTCATCCTTAAATGCGTCAACTTTTGTTCCAAATCACTGAAATCTTTTTAAATTCATTTTATCCTCTTTCTATTTCATATATATTGCAACAGATCTGATATTGCCAACTAAATTGTGATCACCATATTATACATTATCTGTTGCCATTCAAGAAAACAAATTGCATATATATACAATTTTTACACAACATAAAGCTAGATGGAATGCTGGATAAGTGAACCATAGGTGAAATCGACAATTTACCAGACACTCCTTTATCAATAGCTGGAATGACTGACAGGTGAACTTTGTATACGATACATGTAGCATAAGAACTAATAAAAAAGTAATATCAACTCTTTAATAACACTATTTAGCATTATAAAACAGTAAATAATTATACATATTTGGCATTCCTTGGGTCTCACCCTTCACTGCTTGAGGTTAATGTGTAAGATGGCATAGAAGCATGCAGCATTTATCACCAGTATGACTGCTGTCAAGGCCGAATAGCCAACATGCACTATCTATGAGGTGGAATCGCCAGTATGCCTAAAGCACTATCTATGAGACGGAATTGCCAGTATGCCTAAAGCACTATCTATGAGTCGTAATCGCCAGTATGCCTAAAGCACTATCTATGAGGTGGAATCGCAAGTATGACTGATATCAGGGCCGAATGGCCAACATGCCCTTTCTATGAGGCGGAATTGCCAGTATGACTGATATCAAGGCAGAATTGCCAATGTTTGACTGAAATAACCGTTATGGCAGAATTTGATACAAAACAGTCTACTCTCAATGCTGATCACTTGTAAAGTGAATGACCAGTGTCAGTTGCCTCAGCAAAGCAGACCCTTGTCTCTAATTGGTTGATAGCCAATCCAACTAGTCACGTGTCTATTGCATGACTTTGAACTGACCCAATTAATGGGCCTTGACTGGAATCCATTCTTTGTTTAAACATAATTTAATTACATTAAAATATATTTATAAACTGGCACATGGGTTATTAATTACAAATATTGAATTTAAGTCATTTATTCCACAATTTTCATATCTGGTAGAGTACTAAGCATTTTGTGTGGGCTTTTTTTTTTAAATTTAAATTAGTAACAAATCTTGTTTCAAAGTTCACAGTACAGTTTTACTCACATTTTGCTTATATTGTTCTCATCTTTATGGTCATTTCTGTTGCATCATTCTTATGATGTTAGAAGTTACCTCATCTTTCCAGTTTATTATGTATGGCACAATTAAAATAGTTTATAATCTCTTGATCATTTTATTGCATTCATTATTTAAACCTGAACCTATTCTACAATTCCAAATTACTAAAAATTTCTTCATTTCACTATAATGCATCTCTTAATAGATTTTTCACCTGCTTGTTATCATGCTGCCTAAGACCACTCTAAATTAGTGGGAATAAAACGATCACAACAGTGGAGATGCTGCCAAAATCTAAGTGGAGAGGGGCAGCATTCCCCTTTGTAAAGAGTCAGGGTCAGGAAAATTACTAAATGGTATAAATCACACTTGAAAAAGTTTACATTGGCCATTTTTTTCCCTTGCCATGCATCCTGTGCTCTACCTGTATTGGCATCATTGTTCTGCTGTATTGCCATTGTTCTGCTGTATTGCCATTGTTCTGCTGTATTGCCACTGTATTGCCATTGTTCTGCTGACATTTTCAGAAGATACTGTGTCTGATTGCAATGCAAATATTAATCTATGCATGAAAAGTTTTCTCTCAATCAATGAATTG